CCACATCAGGGCTCCCGAGAATTGTGAAGTTCAAACTCCCCGAGAGGAACAGCGCCGTCGCTGCCATCTTCATGATGGCCTCTGGCGCCACAAATCCGAAGCTGTCCACCGGATTCACTGTGGTGTTAGTGCTTATCCTTCTTCCTAGTGTCATGGGGTACCACCGGCAGTTGTAGGGGTTGGCTGGGTACCTATACGAGAGTTTTTTAGAGAGAGAGGCAGATAGATAGGTAGAGTTAGACGGCTAACGAACTAGAGAGAGAGAGAGAGGACTTGATCTGGTCTTCTCCTCCGTGGTTTTCCCAATCCTCGAGCTTCACGATAGAATGCGACGAGTTGACCAGGGTGTACATGGACCCCGTGATGGGGGAGGGGAGGCTCCGCCTGAGATAACTTTCATGCAAAGCCACATAATGCTCTGAGAATGAAGCAAAATAGTTGACTTTGATGTCTCCACGATGGATACTCGCTTGGGCCAAGGGTGTTGACAGGTCGTCATTCTAGGGGTAAGGAATACATAAAGTTGAATGTATTAAAATAAGAAATGAAAGATTTCGTTGAAATTGTCTGTATGTAAATTTCCGAAAAAGACAATCATCAGATTAGCGGCGAGAGATTTGTCACTAAATTTTTTGTGGCACTAAACATCCTGTGTAAGATGAGGGGCCACAGGGTTTCAAATTGTTTGACATAAAAGATTCAACCATTTATCATGAAAACTAACATGTTCTACTATTAGCTAATCATCGATTCATTAACTAAGGGATTGACTAAGATATTTTATTTCAACACTTGTAATAGAAATATCAAGTCATCGCAAACCAATCTACCGGCATTTTTTTCAATGTTAATATGACTTTTAATCTTTTTATTTGATTAAATTGGACTCAAAGTCAACGATTGGGAAATAGGATTAGCCTGGCCAGCTGGGTCCAGCCTGTTTTTGTTTGATCTTGGGTAATCTTTCCTTGTCCCCCTAACTGTGGGCCCGAATGCTGGGGTTTTATCCTCCAGTCTCCTTTCCCATCTCCTCTCTCACGTTCTATGTGCATGTCGCTGCCGACCTTCCCTCCTCTCAACATTCCCCATGTCAGCCTCATCTTGAACCCTGAATTTTAAACCTGTATGACCGTTCTGACAAGGTGTGGCTTGAGACTAAGTAGGAATATACATTGAGTTGGTCCAAAAGTCCAAGACGTGTTCAGAGAATGAGGGCGTAGAAATACAATGCTCATCTTCTAGATCTACTCACATGGTGGATTCTCTATTCTGCTGGGGTTCCTTCCTCCAGATGGAATCGAGGTTGTTTGATTAGCCAAATGCTTAGATCATAGTTAGATTCATAGAATTCATTATCCATCTTCTAGCATATCCAAAAGAAATCTCATTAGCACCACCACCTGCAAATAGTACTAGTTGATAGAGAAGGCAAGATGAACACATGTAAATACAAAGAATGGAAACAAGCTGTGGATAATCAGTAACCACAGGACATGTGGTACTAATTCAATCTTGGTAGCATGTAGAGGTTACTCAATCTTTGATTGGATCCATGGAATCAGGTCCCTTGATGCTTAACACAAGTGATACTATCTGGCAGATGGGCCGATCCTTAGGTTTGTATATTGAGGGAAACCCTTCAATTCATTTGTATTGACATCCCTTGACACGGTTGTGGATTCTTCAGTTGACATGCTCTCCTTTAGTTGCACTCCTTCAGTTGACATGGCTCATTCTTGGTCTCCTATTAAACTCTAGTGATGTCGGTGACATTGCAATCTCTACTGTTCTCCATATTGAATCTAAATTATATTGCCCTTTCATTCTTTGGTCTGCAATACTAGTTATATCCCCTCCTTCCAAGGTTAACTGCACCTACCAGACAATGCCAATTTTCTCTATGTTTGAGCCATCTAGTGATTAGTTTTTCTCATATTAGAAGTTCTAGTTGTATGATTTTTAAAGTGTAAGCATCATAATTCTCATTCAACCTATAAGTTTGACGATATCTACAAATAAAGAAGACAATCAAATTAGTAAATTTAATAACTTTTTGATGCTCTTAAGAACCTAAGACATTTGAATTAGAGATATTATCTTACATTCCTATGATCGACTTAAAAAATTTCACTATTTTTGAAATATTTTGATGAATTATAACTGATTTATTTGTGCTGAAATATTTCTAAATTTTAAAAATGAGTATTTTCTAGTTTTATAAATTTTAAGTATATGTGATTTATTATACAATGATTAGGTCGTGTTAGTAAGTCAACATGTGTGATGATGTCTCATCTACAATTTAGAAATGTGAAATATCTAAGCTAGGTGTGTCAACAAGAAAAATATTTGAAATATCAAAGCATATAATGTTAGGTGTAAAATTTGAACTCAAAAATTAAGCTATAGAAAGTCAAAAATTATCGCATCTAGAATATCTGAATATCACAAACAATAAAAGGTATTGATGGGATTTGAAATCAAGAGCTCAATATTGACATGTTGGAAAGCTAATTTGGAAAATATAAAGTAATATTAAATGATTAGTGCCTAAGGAAGGAATTAAACTCAAGACCTACACAATAATTGAAATGAAACATTTGCATGAAGTTTTCATGGAAGAACAGAAGTTTTCACCACTTACCCTTGACTCTAACATATTAGTGCGATACATAGAGAAAATGACAAAGTAGATGAACTTATTTTGACTCAACCTTAGAAATAGAAATAAATCTTCATGAGTCATAACATATATCTCAAAACTAAAGGTTTGGATGTGATCTATGAGAGAACTACCTCTCAAAGTAAGGAATGACCGAAGGTCAGTGGCACATATTCTCAACAAGTCAAATAGATTATGTGGACAAATTGATAAGTTGACTGGCTATGCTGAAACTTTAACCTTAAGATAAAAATATCTATTGATCAATTATGTATCTTGAGATAAAATATCAAGGACAACTTACACAAGAATGGAAAGCTTCAAATTGAAGAATAATTAAAGGTTAGAAATATAAATTCTGGACAATAACATGTTAGTAGAATATGTGGACTAAATGACAAGCTCAATGACTTACACAATAATAAAAAGTTTTGAACTGAAGAGCAACTAACATGTTGGCTAAACCACATAAATAATTTTAAATTCATTTGACTGTTCTAAAGTGCTAAAAAGATAAGAAGACATTGGAGGATGAATAAAATGAATGTTAAAGCTAGATTTTTGTGTTTTAATTAGTTATTTTATTTTATTTATTTTATTTTATTAACTTGTAAAATAAATATAGAATATGTTATTAATTTTAAAAGTCTGAAGTTAAAATACTTAGCATAATTTTTGATTATTTAAAAATGTAAAAGAACAAAATATAAAATATTCTATCCACTAGCAAGCCGACACTTGGTAGCTGACTCAAAGGGGCACTATGGTTGAGTGAGTAGACCCAGACTAGGGGGAGAACCATGAACTGGGCTCAAGTTGCGAAGGACTTGCTACGCGCACATATGTGCCACTCCCTTGCCATATCTCGGTGGCCAATTGGTTGTGGAGCAAGGAGTGTCGTACACACGTGCATGCACAAAGGCGGGCCACCTTTATTGCTTCTCCCAAGATGGTCTTAGGCATTATTTTATTTCGGGAGAAGTGATCTTTGATGAGAGATAGTAACTTTTATTTATATTCAGCTCATGCGCCGAAATATTTTGTGTCTTAGGGCAGCCATCTAGAGCATGGTGTGATCTAGTAGTATTTAGTGAGCCACATCATTAGATAAGTCAGATCCTCGATTGGCAAGACATCATGATACCAAATGCGTAATACAATCCATTGACGGTTTGAAAATCCAATGCTACTCAACATGTATGTGGCCATAAATGATGATCTAATGGTTAACAAGGTGCCACAGTATTAGGAACTTAAATTTCTAGTCGGCAGTAGTTTGTGGCGAGTTGATCCTACATCGCTCAGCACGCCATGTGACCAAACACATTTGATCTAGCAGCTCACGACATGTCATGATATTGAGAACTTAAGTTCTCACACGTATCACTATTAAAGATATAAAAATAATAATCAATTATTATCTAGTAAAATAGACATTATTGATTATCTTTAAAATCCTCTACAAGTATGACAATTTGTTCTTCCCTCATTTTCTGTGATCAACACCTCTGACGATCGGCGAGCTCATTTCCTCCTCCCCTGATTGCACTCAAGGCCTCCAATGAGTGGTCAGCTCTTCCCTTCTCCCCCTAGAAAATAGTGACAACATGGTCAACCCCTCCCTTTGGCATATCTCTTTGGCAAGGTTATAAGTCTTCATTATCATGAGTTAATAATTTGTAAATAATATAGTTTTAGCCTTAACTCATGATAAATAGACTTATATTTGTGTTAAAGTGTGAAAAGTGGTTTTTAGTTGATTAATGTGAATTTTTGGGTAATTATGTGATTTTATACGATTTTTACAGTTTTACTTTTGAGATAAATGAAGGAAAAGAAATTAAATAAAAATATAACAAAATGGGGGGACCCGCCGGCCAATCGGGCCTGCAAGCGAGTCGGAAGCGTAGTCGGGGAGTAGCCGCGAGTAGGGGCTCGAGCAGCTTGAACCGATGGGGGCATGTGTGTGCCACTCCCCTTCCACGTCATTGGTGGCCAGCCGACTATGGGGTAAGAGGTGGTTGTACACGCGCGAGAAAGGGACTTGATCGGAAACATAGTATTACTATATATTCACGAGAAATTTCAGTGCACAACTGATGTGGGACTAAACCTGCGTCACACCTCCCTAGAAAGGGCAGGGGCAACCGGCATAGGTTCGAATCCTCATAGAGCCAAAATTCATATTTTTATCTGATTATCGTAACTTTCTTGCAGATCGCTAGTGAAGGATTAAGCAACCAAAATTGCTGGATCACCGACGAAAATCTCATCAACGCGATTCGTGGAGTATTGTTACTAAAATTACTGAATGATTCGTGATAAAAGGATCGTGAATCTATCGAGTAAAGCATCTCCGATTGATCGACGAACAAGCCATCGTTAGGAAGAGGACGATCTGCTGGGAGACGAGTTGCCACCTCTTGAGAGCGTACCAGATGCGATCAAGAGCCTCCTCTTGCTGTGCAGACCTGAGGATGAAGCTCCTTGACACGTGCCCCACCTCCATCTAGCTCCTCTCTGTCAGGTGACAGCCGCCGGAGAGCCGTAAAGTCGTTGTTTTTTCACTCCGCCGGGTGACAGCCGCCGGAGACGATTTGATGACTCATTTTATTGATCTCTAGACTTTGCAAGGAGATCTAGAGATTGCCTATATCGTCTTTGTCCAAGGAGAGCCTTCGAGGTCATAGACACTGCACGTCGATTCTTCCGAACACTTAGGATTCCGATGCATTGCCGACGCATCACTGCCATGATGCCGGAACTTTGTTTCTTACTTTCAACTTAATTTTCGTTTCATTTAGTGACAATTTGTTGATTTTAAATTTACCAAGATATACTTCATTCTATTACGATTCTTTCGGCTTTTATAGATCTTAATTTGATCAATCAAATGATTTGTAATTGCTTACGTAAGAATCACTAGGCGGAACTCTGTTTCTGCCCGATTCATGTTCGCCGGGTGCTGACGTCATCTTGATGATTGCACCGTTATTTTTCTTTTTTTGTGAATTTTAAATATATTTCCTTTTCATTTCCTGGTATAAAATTCATAGAAAAAAATATTTCTTGAGAAAAATTCTAAAAATATTACATCTCTGTGATTGACTTGGAAAATTATCACTATTTTTAGAAGTTTTACTGAATTATACTTGATATATTTGTTTAGAAATACTTCTAAATGTCTGAAAATTCATATTTTCTATTTTATAAATTTAATATTTACGTGATTTAATATACAATGACTAAGTCACGTCACAAGCGACACAATACTTCTGAATAATACTTTTGTGACTTCTAATGTGGTGTGGTACGTCCGGACAAAACTAAGCCGCCACACCTATCTCTAGTTGCCCACGAGGTAGACTAAACTTGGGCAATGATTTATTTCTTACTTTTAGTATTTACTTACTTACTGGTATTTTTTTTACATTTAATGGTAAGTTATTTTTGTTTCATGTATGTTTCAATTGAAATGAGTATAACTAATTCAAAACTTGATGAATAATCTCATTTCTTCTTCTTAATCTTCAAAAACTTGTTTGAGATTAAACTAAGATCATTTTTAACTTGTTTTCTATTGATTTTCACAATCAAATCTCATCATATTCATATTTTTGGTTTTTCATAAATAATAGGTATTTTTCTATTTTCAAGCACGAAATCAACAAGATTAAAGGCTGCTTAATGATCATTCAACGATTAAAATAATGTGGAGACATTCACAGCTAACCATATGTCATGTGTGTGAATTCTTGAGCACACATTTATCCAAGAATATTGGTCACCGTGAAAATGAGTTGACCACACTTCTCTCTTTCTTTATTATCATCTTATTTTTTTCTCTCCCTCTCTCGTGAGATCATTTCTTCTCTCTTTCTCTCATGAGATCTCTCTCTCGATTGATCGATCTCCCTCTCTTTCTCTCCATTGATTAATCTCCCTCTCTCTCTCATGCATCTTTTCTCTCTCTGTCTCAAATGAGATTTCCTCTTCTCTTTTTCTCTCTCTTTTGTGAGAGATCTCTTCTCTTGTCCTTCATGAGAGCCTTCTATTCTTTTTCTTTTTCTCCTTCCTTTTTCTGCTTCCCTTCTTTTATTCTTCTCACCTCACCCTTCTATTTTATTATTTCTATTAAATATTGATAAAATATTAAAATCACTTTATATATAAACCAAATTAGTTTTCATAACAAATTAATTTATCTCCTTGTGTTCGACTTGAGACTTCTATACTAATATTTTTATTAAGTCTTAGTTATAAATTTTATTATAGAACGTGAATTTAGACACAATGACGAGTGCACATCAATGAACTTAAAAAGAATTAGAACTAATGCTAAATTAAAATATCCATCCACTTCATTCATTTAAGCTCAAGAATAGATTGTACTTTAACTATTAAAGCAAGACTATTATATGCTTCAAGGAAAAAGTTAAAAGCTTGATCATACGTGTTGACACGAGAGGGCAAAACCCTAGAATCCATAATCCTTCTTTAAGGAAGAAGATGAGTATATGAGGTTATATAGAAAAGAAGAAGAAAGAAAGATGAAAAGAGAGATAGATAATGGGCCCTAGTGGGCCGGGAGTCCGATACCACTATTGAACACTTCCCCTCAAGCTAGAGTATATAAGTGAAATATGTCTAACTTGGTACACGTGGTGTCATGATGTCGGCCAGACTCTTCGTGAAGATGTTGTGAGACATCAGGAGGTGTAGGAGGTGGCTGAGATGAGATGACGTTGTGAGGTATTAGGAGGTGTAGGAGGCGGCTGAGATGGGATAACGTTGTGAGACATTGGGAGGTGTAGGAGGTGGCTGAGATGAGATGATGTTGTGAGGGATTGGGAGGGGTAGGAGGCGATTGAGATGAGATGACATCATGAGGCATTGAGAGGTGGCGCAGAGCACTAGAAGGCGACGTGCGAGGTGTCAGGAGTGGCATGGGGCACCAGGAGGTGACACAAGAGGCGTTGAGAGGCAGTGCGGGGCCTTGGGAGGTGACGCACGAGGCATCAGGAGGCGACGCATGAGGCATCGAGAGGCGACGTGTGAGGCATCGAGAGGTGGCGTGGGGCACTGGGAGGTGACACACGAGGTGTCAAGAGGCAACACATGAGGCGTTGGGAGGCAGTGTGGGGTGCTGGGAGGCAACGTGCGAGGCCTCGGGAGGCGGCGTGGGGTGTCTAGAGGCGACGCTTAGGGAGTCATGAGGCAATGTGCAGAGTGCCACGAGTCGACATGTAGGGTGTTGGGTGTCGACACTCGGGGCATCAAGAGGCTAGCACTGTTGAGAGGAGAAGGGTGCCTAATGAACTCGAATTGAAGGTTAAATACATTATCGTGATGCAACCAAGTTCATGAAATAATATTTATAAAGCCTCACTCTTCTATTTACGATAAGTAAGGGTTGATCCTTAGGGAGCATGGGTAATGAGAGTACGAATTCTACTTATTTTATTTCTTATATATATATATATATATATATATATATATATGTATACGTGAGATTGTGAACGGCACAATTAAATGTAAAAGGGTGAAGACAAGAATTATGAAAAGTGTGACAAAGGAGAGAGAATAAATCTAACGTAATAGAGTGATAGAATAAATGATAAAATTAGTTCGAATTAAAAGTTAATCTATCCATGGAGAGGAATACAAGGATGCCTCAAATCTAGATCTTGCACAAACCTCATCGTACACTAGTCCTAGGCCAAGTGATGTTCAATCTATTATGATCTTGATGTGTTCCAAGTAATCTCTTCTCTACGATGATCTTGGGCACGAGAATGTCATTGATCAGGCATTGATTTTTCTTCTATTTTTTTCAGTTAGCCACTACTAAAGAGAGTCAAAAAGCGCCCTCTCAAGAGTTAAGCCCCCCCAATGGACGGTTAAGATTAATAACCAAAATCTCTTGGTGGATGGCCCAAATTCATGAGGGTGGTGCTCTAATCCCTCTCTTAATCTCATCTTAAGACGCCCTAAGATGGACAGCCTAGATCTTATCTCTTAATAGCCATTTTAAGTCCAAATGGGCTAGGCCAAAGTGACGTCTTCTCTTAGGCCCATAAACATATTAGGGCAGCCCTCTCCATAAGACTTAGGCTTTTCATTAGGCTAAAGGTTTGGGCTTCTTCTATTACTTCCAGCTTATATTAAGAACTTACCTAAGTCCTTGTAATCAAATAATTATCAAGAAAATATGAGAGAATCATCACTTGACTTCATAAAAGTCAAGTGGGGTTAGGCTCATAATATAAATAAAATAACTAAAATAATATATATTAAGACTTAAATGATAAAACATTATAAATGTCATAATAAGTTGGTAACACATGTATAATAGTATTATCTACTAATTAATTAGTATTTATATATAAGATATTAATGCATAGATGCAACTAGTAATTTATAATTATCAGTGCCACCGAGAGGAGAAGGACACTATAGAAGGATGACACTGCCAGACGTGGGCGGCTCACTAGAGAGGGAGGCAGTGGCAGCATGGCAGCCTAGAGGAGTGGCAGCGGCTTGAAGGAGTGGTTGTTGGTGGCGCGGCGGCCTGGAGAGGGGTGGAAATGGAGGCGAGGAGGGCGGCACCGAAAGGAGAAGGAGAGCGATGACAAAGATGACGATACTAGAAGAGGGAAGAGCGGTGATGTCGAAGAGCCGCTTGAGGAGGGAAGAGGCCGGCAAGGAGGAGAGCAGCACATTAGAGGTGGGCGACGCACCGGAGAGGAGGACTACGATGAGGGATTCTTAGGGCTCTAATACTATGTTGGCATGAGAAGGGAAAACCTTGGAATCCATGATCCTTCTTTAAGGAAGAAGATAAGTATATGAGGTCATATAGAAAAGAAGAAGAAAGAAAGATGAAAAGAGAGAGATAGATAATGGGCCCTAGTGGGCCGAGAGTTTGATACCACTATTGAATAGTACGAATTACTCAACTATGGTGAATCAGTCAAAAACTACTTTAAAAGTTGATTCTCTTTATTAGCCCTTAAGGTAACCTACGTGGTCAGTGGAAAGAGGCTTAGACTAAAGCAGGAGGTGTTGAGAACCTACAAGTGTCTATGAAGGGTGCGATCTCTAAGGAGACTAACATACTTGACTAAAGTATGTGATTCTGGGAGTTAGACTCCATCCATAAGGGGTGTGATCTTTAGGGAGATCAAACATGAGTATTTGGGTCATTGATCTCAAGAACTCAATTTAATATATAGAAGAAAGTAATGAATTATAAAAAGATGGTTGTTTCATGATTAGATGTGGCTTGGTGAAGGATGAGTCAATGTAAAAACTCTTGTCTCACGTGGTGACAAGTGTGAGATAGAGACTAGAGTGAATCCATATAGAATGAGAGATTGACTTAGGAAAATCCATACACATAATAGAGAGAAGCTGTGTGAGAACTTGTGTTGACACAAACACAAAATTAGAATAAAAAAATAGAATGAAAAAAGTAGAAAACTAATTCATGCCCCCCTCTTAGTATTCCACTTAGTCACATCAAACCCAACAAGCCAATTATAGTTCATAGAGACATAAAGAGCAAATTTTTTTATTAAATGAAGAACTTATGTCCAAATTAGTTGATTGTGGAGTATCTCGAATTCTATCATAAAAAATGTTACCCAAGTGGCCATTGTTTCAATTTAGAGATAGTTTGACTCTATGTTTTCATTCATCCTGAACATCAGATTTAACACTTTCCTTGTTCAAATATGGACCTTTCAAAGTAT